GCTATTTTCCACACTCCCCCCCCCACCCCCCCAGCGAAACTGGGATGATTCGAGCCCAGTGGAAAGAACGCAGGGCAGATAAGCTGAGCAAACAGCACGGCAATGAGGAGGGGGAATCTTTCCTGCTTGAAAGTTTCTGTTTGGAGGAGTGGGGATGGGATGAGGGGCAGGTCGGTAGGGCCGGCCAGGGGCTGCCTGGGCCGGTTCTGGAGGGCCTGGCCCGGACTCCTAGCCAGGGCCCCATATAAAGCAGGAAACTGGCAAGCAGAGGGAGAACGAAGGAGTGAACTGGCCACGGCAGGACGTGGAGGGCAGCTGCAGAGCAGGTACCTGGGCACCTGAGACGGTACACTGATGGACAGGCAACCACCCCGTCTTCTCCCCTTCTGGAGGGACTCCCAGCCCCAGCCCACCAGACCCTGCTCCTCTTCCAAAGCAGACAGACCCCACTGTCCCCCAGACGCCCACTCTGCTTCTGGACGCAGGGATCAAGCCCCGGCATCCCGGCTCCCACCTCTCTTCCCCCACCTGCAGCCACGAGGCGCCACGCCTCTCCCCGAACAGATCGGTAGAGCCAGGGCCTTGTTCCCCAGCATGTCTCGCTCTGGGGGACAGCGGGGTCTGGGGGGTTAGAGCAGGGGTGCTGGCCCTACCCCCAGTCCCGAGAGAGAAATGAGCACTAGTGGGCTGGGGCTTCTGGGATCTGCCCTCGGCTCTGGCCCTGACTTCACTGCTCCCTCCAGGGTGGAGTCCGTGCCTCGGTTTTACGGGCTGCAAAATACCGGTGGCTGCTACACGCCCGTACGTGTGCATGCTTGTGTGTCCGTGTGCGTGTGCCGGCTGGGGGGACTGGATCCTGCTCCTCGTGCCCGCACGTGTAACTCCCTCCTAACCCTCCCTGCTCCAAGCAGAAGGACCCCGTGACTCGCCCCCCCGCTCCACCATGGACTCTCCAGCCTATAAAACTGTCATGGCCTTGGGGCGGTTCAAGGTGAGGAGGCTCCAGACCAGGCCGGCCAAGAAACCCAGCAGGGGAGAGGACAGCGGCCCCCAGCCCCCGGCCCCGGGGGGCTCAGGCCAGGCAGAAGAAGGGGGCTCCTTGTCGGCGCCCCCGGACTACGAGACCACCATTGATGCCAGCCCCTGCTATGAGTTTTACGCGCACTCGGTGCTGCCTGGACGAGCCCGCAAGAGCCGCCCCTCCCTGGAAGTGCTGTGCAATGCGGTAGGGCCTTAGGGGCAGGATGTGGGGAGTGGGCTCAGGGTGGGGGGCACGGTGCTGCAGGGAGCAAGGTGGGCACTGTGCGTCTGCTGGCGGTGAGGGAAGGAGGGGCGGGCAGGTTAGCGGGGATCAGTGCTGCAAGGTGTGCAGGACAGGATGACACCGTTAAAGGAGCTGTGCTGGGGGCAGAGTGGGGAGGGTCTGCCGGGCGGCTCTAACCCTGCTTTCCATCTGTGCCCAGGAAAATGGAGAGGTTTTCCCTGAAGTACCGGACCCTGGGGTCCCCGACTCAAAGGTGACGGACGACGATCCAGAGGCAGCAGCCTCCGTGGCAGAGCCTGTCCGGTTTGGCTGGGTCACTGGCGTGATGGTAAAGGGAGCTTTTCCCCCTCTGAGAGGGGCGTGGGGCCAGTCGGGGAGCAGGCCAGACTCTGGGCTCCCATCATCCGCTCTCTTCTGGTTTCTCTCCCCAGATCCGGTGCATGCTGAACATCTGGGGTGTGATCCTCTACCTCCGGCTGCCCTGGATCACGGCTCAGGCTGGAATCGGTAATGGGGCTTGCTTCCCCGCAGCCGGGGAGCTGGGAGAGGAGGGACCGGGGTGGGAGCCCACCCAGAGGGGTGGAGGCAGCAGGGAGCAGGCCCATCCTCTGGCTTTCACCACTCATTGACTCCCACCCCCACAGGGCTGACTTGGCTGATCATCCTCATGTCGGCGTTGGTCACTACTGTCACCGGCCTCTCGATCTCGGCCATCTCCACCAATGGCAAGGTCAAGGCAGGTGAGTTGTGTGGCTCCAGGCACCCTGCTATCAGCACAGCCATGGCAGGACAGCAAACCACAGTCCCCAGGCTGGCCATTGCGGGGAGGGCTGGTGCTGTGGTGGGGTCAGTGGGGGCTGGACTGGTTGCACCATATGGAGGCAGGATGAGCTGGAAGCCAAGCGAGTGCTCCGTGCTGGAAGCAGGTAGTTCAACTTAATAGCAGGCCCATGTGACTATGCATACGTGTGGGCACATGCATACACATGCATGCACGCACGCACACACACACAGTCTCTAGGGCTCTCCTTACAGCTGCACCAAGTCAAGAGTTGGATCCCACCCTGCTGAGCAAGCCTGACTCTCTGTCTGTCCAAGCACAGGGGGCACCTATTTCCTGATCTCACGCAGCCTGGGTCCTGAGCTGGGAGGCTCTATCGGGCTTCTCCAGGCACTACAGTAATACAGATCATTTTTAGCAAT